TACCCTCAGACAATCTTGGCCATTCATTTTATTTATTTTTTAATTATCTATTGTATTATAAATCATTAATAAATTAAAAAAAAATAAATTAAGTAATTTAATAATACCCCTTAAATACACTCATCAAATTTGATTTTAATTCTTTCTAAATGCTTGAGTTTTTCCTCCGTTTCATTTAATTAATAATTGCACGACGTTTTTAATTGCATTTAAGTAAGAACTAATTGTTGGATGCCAAGGTTTTAATTGCATTTATTCTCATTTTATTTGTTCATTTATTTTTTTTTTTTAACTTATTTAATTAATGCATGACGTTTTAATTTTAATAGGCATTTAAATAAGAGCTAATTGTTGAAATGCCAAAAATTTTAATTGCATTTATTCCTATATTCAAATATATTAACTAATATATTTATTTGCATTATATTTTAATTTATTATCAATCTGAGCAATTAAGAACATAATCATTAATTAATATTCATTCTTTAATAATTGTTAAAAATTCATAATTTTTAATAATAATAATTTAAAAAACTTTAAAGTATAAATCTAAATTTATTTATAAATAAACCTCCTAAAGCCACACGACGTATTTATTAGTATCATAGTTAAAACGGATAGCCAATAGAATTTTAAATTAACAATAATACACAATATTTCTCACACATCAAATTTAGTCATCTATTTTATTTATTCTAAAATTATCTTGTCCCTTCATTGTATTTATAAATATTAATAAATAAGTGTAACCTTTGTATTCCTCAGTTATTTATTATACATGAAATTGTGAACTCTCCACATTAACTATCTGAAATTAAAATTGGTAAAACTTACATAATTAATATGAGTAATTAATACTCATATCAAATATGACCATCCATCTCGCAATTAGATGAATGCTTGGTATTTCATTTTAGAAATTAAAATCTCGATGCAACCATTTGTATTCTCAATCTCATTTATTATACTTTAAATTATGAAACTTAATTCTCACACGTTAATATCTGAAATACGTTGCGTAACTCATTCATAAAGTCGAAACCGGAAAAGGATCGCAAACTTGTCTATATGCAGTGGAGAAGAAAAAGCTTCTCTAGTGTGGTGAATCAGAGTTTATTTTTGGTATTAGAGATAAAGTTAAGTAGGTCAACAACTTTCATTGCTCTTCCATTTTTTAGGTATGCATATGAGTTTTAACTCATATGTTATGAAGTTAATACCAACTTATGTTCATTCTAAACAATAATAATAGTTGTCTTTATATTATACAAACGCTTCAATAAAAAGATTTCATAATCAAATTCAGCATTTTTATCTTAAAAAATTCGTTGAAAAAAAGAAAAAAAAATCTTATTTGAATGCCAAAATATATATGCATGATGTTTATTATGTCAGAATTCTTCAATCTTCTCTAAATCAATTAAAAAAATTACTTTAAAAGAATTGAAGTTGAAATAATACATTGAATATTGTATAAAAAATAAGATATTTTCATCAACATTTTCATATTACTTAAAAACATGTCTAATTAATCAAATTTTTTATAATTACAAAATATGTATTCATCTTCATTACAAATTTCTTAAAACAATTCAAATTATTTGGTGAAACCGCACAATTATTTTTACGGAAAACAAACTAATATTTATTTGTCAAAATTTTTCTTTTCAATATATAACTATTAAATTCTAAGAAAAAATTGATAAAAGGGATTTTAATTATAATTATATGCATGCAATTGAAGTTGATTGGATCATATCGTTCTCTTTTGAAATTTTTTGATTTTCTATAGATACTTTTATGAAACAAAACTTAATTATTTTTTAAATTCTATAGATATTTCTTGATATTACTTAAATTAAGAAAATTAATTTTTAGTGTATTTAATTTGTAATTATATCATACTATTTTATTCTTTCTAACACATATATATTGATTTTATATGTTTAAATAATTCATATTTGAAAAGCATTGTTGATATTTGTTAATATATTTTTCTAGTTAATATCAAAGAA